CTTTGGCGAAAAAGGAAAGAATAAATAACGACTTTTTGCAAAACTTTGCTTACCGCAAAGACTTGTCAAAACATGTAGAGAAATTTATTGGCAATTAACGAACTCAGACAATACAAATAGGGAAGTATGATCTAGATGCTATCGTTTTCTGACAATGCGTAAGTTTGTACTAGCGATTGCTCTAGGAGATGATAAACTTGACTAAATAAGGTGTGTTTAGAACGTTACTGTTAGTTCTACATGTATCATGAAAATATCCTCAACGCATTTTCTTATGGTCGGTAAGATATTGAACAGTTCAACAAGTAAATGATTTAAATTGATTTAATTGAAATACTCAAATAAAAATGACGTCGTGCTTTCCGTTCTTTAGCGATCGGAAATGCATGCATAAAATATTTTTATTTTGAATGTACAGAGTAAAATCCTTAAAATTAAAATTTTCTGCTATGTTTTTACCTTTATTTGCCAAAAGTTGTATTGAATGTGTGTCAAGATTGTATTTTTTTTAGTATTTTTATCGTTTTATTTTATGTTTGTTTCAGCAGCACGAATCTGATTCAATTCATTTTTAAATCAGTTTTTAGATATTTAGCTGAATTTTAATTTGCACTTTATTTCATGTTGATAGGTCTTTTTAAACTCAAGTTATAAGTATTTTAGTGCGTCAAAAGAAACACACTTTTGTTTTATTTTACTGCGACGTCGATTATATTGTGACGTCACGTCAATTGTTTTCTATCAGGTTCGTGCCGTTGCTATATATATTGAGACAAATAAAGAGACCTGATGTTCATTAATAGAAGATCAGAAAAATAAAAAAAAAACTTAGTTCCCGAATAAGGACCTTTCAGTATTGTCTTAGAGTTTTCTGCAGAAGTGGTGAAGCAAGTCCAGGAAGCGCAGCAAGTCTAAGAAGCACAGCAAGGCCAGGAAGCGCAGCAAGTCTAAGAAGCGCAGCAAGTCCAGGAAGCGCAGCAAGTCTAAGAAGCGCAGCAAGTCTACGAAGCGCGGCAAGTCCAGGAAGCGCAGCAATTCCAGGAAGCGCAGCAAGTCTAGGAAGCGCAGCAAGTCTAAGAAGCGCAGCAAGTCCAGGAAGCGCAGCAAGTCCAGGAAGCACAGCAAGTCCAGGAAGCGCAGCAAGTCCAGGAAGCGCAGCAAGTCCAAAAGCGCAGCAAGTTGAGGAAGCGCAGCAAGTCCAAAAGCGTAGCAAGTCCAGGAGTGCAGCAAGTCCAAACGTGCAGCAAGTCTAGAAGCGCAGCAAAGTGCAGCAAGTCCAAAAGCGTAGCAAGTTCAGGAGTGCAGCAAGTCCAAACCTGCAGCAAGTCTAGAAGCGCAGCAAGTACAGAAGCACAAGGAAGACGTTTATTACTCTGTCTAGCAAGTTCCTTTGTTAATAAGACAAAGTCACCTTAGTTAGTGGACCCACTCAGACTAACGTCTGACAATGTGGCCTTTTTTATCTAAAAAATTATAAATCCATCAACACGAAACTTGGTAAACATTATTTATTATTATGACAGGTCGCACTTGTAATACAAATGAAAATGTTCTAAAAGCTCTATATTTGGACGTATATTCAGTTTTCACTGATGGTCAAAATTTTTCATTAAAGGCGTTCGCCATGGTAACATATTGTCGTGAGGCAATATGGACACAATTCATTCTAAGTCATTAGGGAAATTCAATATATTTTTAACAGAAACATATTTAGCGAAATAAATTTAGGTGTCACCGTGTTTTATGATTTTGAAAATGCTGTTCTTTTCAAGGTCAGATAATTCATAAACAAGGACATCATGTCCTTACGTCTTTGCATAGTATGTAGCCGATTGTATTGCAAGTGATTGTGCTAACTTTAAAGAATTAGTTACGAGCGCCGAAGCCGATATGAATAGAAATGTTAATTTATTGAACGTAACAGTGGTATTGAAAACGTTTGAATTCGGTACACCCGGGATCCGGGGTCTAGGTATTTCGTTGTGAAGGTATGTATAGCTATTAACCGTATTTCAAGCTTAAGATTAAATAGATATCCTGGTTACATGATTACTTAACAATAATATTTTACTTACCAATAACATTTAAGTGCCACAAATTACAACAAATATTAAAACCCAAAGCTGTGTATTGCTTATCCCTTTATGTATGATACAATCCCGGACCTGGCGCCCGTCTCGATGTTATTTTCTAAGATCATCTGATAAAACAAATAATATGGGTGAAGATTTTCGTTACGTTAGTAAAATAATTTACTTTTACTATTTTATGTATTTGAATATTGGTACAATGGTATATTTTCCGTTATCTTCTCAGAGGAACATTTATGTTGATACAGTTACTTTGAATTTGCCTATATGTAACTATCAAATACACCTTCAACAGATTCATTTGAACACTCTGAATTAGAATGATATCGAAACTATGAAATGTATCAACATGAAACTAAAATACTTAATAATCTTGACATAGTGGAGTTGTAGGCCATGGAGCATCATTCTTAAAGCATTATTTTTAAAATTTTACCCTTTTAACTATAATTTGTCACTGATATTGGTAGTTTATAGAATATTTTAAAAATGCCAAATACATTAATTATTCTCATTTAAAGCATACTTGCTAAAACGGACAACGGACAAAACGCAGTTATGAGTATTTCTATAGTTATGCCCCTTTTATCACAAAGAAAATATTTGAAGAGTACTGATTGTTGGATTACTTGTTTAAAGGTACAAATGCAACTGACATAATTAGGTGATCATTTTTTCTATAGCTATGTCCCATTATTATATGAAATATATTTGAACCTTCATATTAATAGCAACAATTTCAACATTTATAATAAAAGTTATATTCTTCAACATTCACAACGTTAGTCATCTTATAAATACGATGGGTAAGAGTTAGACCTATTGTGATCTTTTTCGGGCTATTGTGATCACTGGATCATCTTCGTATGCAAAATCTTCATGTAAGTGATTACACAGAAAGTATTAAAGATAAAATCTAAGATGTTGACATTATGACTGACTTCAGGCTAGTGCAGACGATCTATTTTAAAGAGTTGACATTGAGGTTTTTGACATGACGGGATTGGAAATATTTTTTCAAGAATAATAAAGGTATTGTCGGTCTTCAAGAATAATGAAGATATTGTCTGGCTAGACAAAATAGCGTGCGTGCAAACCTTCAGATCATTCGCTAACTCCGTTTTCCCAGATTAATTGTGAACAATGATACAAAATAGAAAAGCGATGTAAATCGGGCTAAAATAGCAGAAACATACCATTTAAAATTCATTCTGAGTATATTTCCTAAACATTTTGTTTTATGATTTCAAGCAGCACAGTACACCTCCAGATGCATGCTAATTTTCATGAAAATTTTGAAAAATTAATTGAATGTGTAATATTGTGAAGTTACCAAAAGAAAGCAATTTACACATAACCAATGCCACTTACAAACCCCGTATATTTCCAAAATTGTGGTCCAAATATTCATAAATAGCCTTTACTGCGTTAGTAACGCAGTAGAAATATAGTTGTAAAACTGAAAAATCAGTTATAAATCGCACACAATATGTAAAATATTATCTGAGTCTTGAAACTTTATACTTTTCCTTACATCTTAGTACATTTTCCCAAAGTTTGATTTTATTGAAATATTTTGAATCATCTGGAGGCATGTAGCCCCAGTTAATCTATCTAAGAAATTCCAATTTATAAATCTTCTGATATGGTCTCCATTGTCTACTCTACAAAGCTTTCATTTGTTGCATATAATCTCCCAGTAAAATGAATTTCTACATCTGTATAAACAGCAATATCTCCTAATTTAATGTGAAGAGTTAAGGATATAAATTATTCCATTCTTACAGAAACGTAAAGATTTTACTATTTGTTTAGGAACACAGTTATTTTATGACATTCCCGATATTTATCAGCATATAAAGATTTTAATTGCTAATACAGGAATAATCATACTATGTAAATGCTGGCAAAAAACAACATAAATATTTGCTGTAGTTTAACAGAAAAGAGGATTTACTAATCTGTTATTTTTTAATTCACTTTCAAGCTCAGCATTATTGCTACAACGAGAATCTGAACGCAAATATTTGAAATATATAAATTAAATTAAAATACTTCAAAAACAAAGCTGCAAATTTTAACTGAACATGGAGTAATACATTCACTTTATGATACATAGATTTATATACAGGGCCAGACAATTACTTGCCCCGTTTCTATGCTATTACGTACAAGTTAGTGTTTATTAGAAAGTATTATTAAGATTAAATTGGTCAAGAACGGCGCAATTGCTTAATTTATCTTTTTTTTAATATAAAACTGTCTGTCTAATAGACTTATGAATTAAGTTGATTTACTAAAAAATAGTTTCAAACACAATAAATATGCAAGCCTACATCCTACTTGTACAACGTTTACAAATATGTGTTGTGTATTTAACACTGCGAAAAATATACTGATATACGGGAATATACGGTCCCGTATTTTTGACATATACGGGCGTGTACGGGATGTATTCGTCGAATATACGGACCAAGTATACGAGTCCGTATAGGGAACACCGGGTATACGGGAAGTCCGTATATGCATCAGGCATATACGGAATTCCGTATTTGCCCCATATACATGTACGTATATTTGTTCGTACTTTTGAAGTATACGGAGAATAAAATCCCGTATACGGACCATATTAAGGTTGTTATCCCTAGTATACTATAAATATACCAAGGATATACGGGACCGTATTTTCTACATATACAGAGGATATACGGACTCGTATTTTTTACGTATACAGAGGATATACGGAACCGTATATTCTACATATACAGAGGATATACGGAACCGTATATTCTACATATACAGAGGATATACGGAATCGTATTTTGCACATATACAGATGATATACGGAATCGTATTTTCTACATATACAGAAGAAATACGGAATCGTATTTTCTACATATATAGGGGATATACGGAATTGTATTTTCAATATATACAGGGGATATACGGAATTGCATTTTTTAGTTGTCCACAGGGAATACAGAAGTTGGAACTGTATTTTCTTGATAAAAGAAGATGCAGATAATATCAAAAGCATGCATTTACATATAAGTGACACGTATACATGACCGAAATTCAGACTTGTACAACAGAACATGTTTTATTACACATTTTGAATGGGAACTGTAAAGTCATATGCTTAAGAACTTTATCTTCACAAATGGAGTATTTCAAATAATAAAGTTAAAACCAAATCGAATCACTCTTAAATATTTATTATTTCATAAACATATATTCAATATGTATACATATATTAAACAAAATAAACATGTCTTCGCTACAACAGTCATAATTATATTGTTGCAAGCCTTATTTCGGAGGCACAAATTCATGTAGCGTTGCAACGGAACGGCTATATACCGGTATGATGCGATACAGAGTCATGAAATACGTATCACAGTGGAGAAAATCCGCACTGCGATATTTTCTTTAGAGATCGAGTTATACATGTACATGTTTCGATATTTTCATACATGTTTCGACATTTTCAAGCCGTATGAATTGCATGTTGTTTAAATCTAGAACAAACTATACCAACTTGAAGTTCGATTCTATTTATCTTAACAATGATTTTTATGAGCCACTTGTATTACACCCATAAAATATTTTGAAGATATTCATATCATTTGTTCGTGTTAACATTTACATATTATTTTAGGAAAATGAGTCCATAGCACAAATTGATTATTACAGAAAGTTTAAATAATAATCATTAAAATTAAAAATCCGTATTCACAGAAATTCGTCATTCAAACACAGTTCTTAAAAGCACTTAAATATATCAATCATCAATAGGAATGTTACGTAGACCAGTGTGACGTTGTCTATTTCGTGACGTAGGAAATGTTATCTCCAGATATTACAATCTTCTTCGGCATGTGTGTATCTGAAAAAGAGAGTTTAAAATCATGTTTAAATAGTGTCAGGAAATAGTTATCACAACTTTCAAAAAGACTATACACAAGCATTTTTTAAGCGTATACATTTATACATTTTTTTCTAACGCAAATTTCAAAATTATTTTATATTATTAGGATAAAGATGTCATTTATAAGCAATCATTTACACAGGAATTAAATGAAATGATTAATCTATGACGGATGATAAGTTATATGTTTTTGTTATAAAACCTTTACGAATATATTTATTTCACACCTGTAATATAAATGATAATGGTATCTTTGTTCTATGTAAAGAGTGTTTTATTGATTAAAAATATATTAATACAAAATAACATTGTATTTGGAAAAAGTGCTGACATAATCTTTTTGATCGTTTTACGATGTATATTAGCATCGTTAGTAGGAGTCAATTCGTTTGAAAAAAGGCTTAAAAAGTACAGATATTTTTACTCAGATGTAGATCCGTGTTTGCACAATGATATCCAGTTAAGTAAAAAGCGGAATACCCAGCTATACTTCTCAATTATATTAAAACGTTAATCTTAACGATTTGGATTATTATTTGTTTCAATTTCAATTGTTTCAAAAACTATCTCAGCAACGAATGAATACCTTCAATATACAATAGTGTAGATTATTATTTTTTTATTGTCAAGACTGTTTAACTAGGTAAGTTGACAATAGAATCTCTTACAGTGTGTCATCTCTAAAAATAAAGTGATAATTCTCACGAAATATAAATCAATGAAAATATCCTCCCTTGCCTATAGCATTAATCTGATAGTATGAAATCAAATTCAGATAATAAAATATACGTATCATATGTGACAATTTCATAAAATAAGATAGGAAATATTTTTGTTAATACATGCGAATGCGACTATTACGTGCGCACATGACACATTTACGTATCAACGCAATATGTTTCACGTGCGCACAAGTACTGTGCGTTTAGTATGATAATTAAGTGACGAGGTGGTCAAGTCCACTTTCCAGGTGTAAAACAGCTATCATATTGTGTTTATTATCTTTAAACAGGCTAGCTATATAAATTAAATTATCAACAAATTTACCAACTCTCAGCGTAATGCAGTAGGTAAGGTTGTGATAAATATCAATGCAAGACAGCTAGGCTCGGATTGCACCTTTTTCCCAAAAATATTGCTTTATAATTATCAATCAGGTAGGAAAGTTATGTATCATTTATTGTAAAGATTATAAATGCTGTGATATTTTCTATTAACTTCTCATTTTGTTTTAAATGTAGCTATATTTAGCCCTATTTAGCAAGTTGGTGCAAACTTATACGGAATGCATGATACTGTACACAGACTGTTTCAACTATAGTTAAGTTTGCACGAAATACTATCGCACTGCAAAAGTACTATGACTACTACATACTACACACTATACAGGATAAAAATCACTATCATCCGTGCATGTATATCTAAATTATTAAATATCATAACAAAACTGCCTTTTTTATCCCAATTCATTTTTCTAATGTAAAATTTTAAAAAAAATATATGGAAAGAAAAACGCAAAAAAGTAAGACAACTTGTGAGGCTCGAACTTGTGATAAAATTTAACGTGTATGACATTCTAACTTTTACATCAAGACATTTCAAATTCTGTTTCTTATCTGACATTATATTCGCTTTGAAAACCCTGTTTTACCTATTCAGACAAATGTTGTTAACTTTAGTGTACATGTACAAAAGAAAATGTAACGTCACTCTCACATTATCAAAGCGGCGTACTTATCGCTTTACGCACGTAGTAACTAAACAAATTACTATCATTAACATATATAAAAGTGATTAAACTGTAAAGAAATACATATTTTTTGATTCAGTAATATGTTTAAGAAAAGAAAACTAATTTAATAAAATAAAGTCGCATGCACATTGCATCTATATCAAACCATTTTGTGTGTTCGAGTTAATTCTTATATTTTATATATTTGATTTTTGCATATTACAAGCAAGTATGGTTTAGCATTTTCAAATGCGCGGCAAAATGCTTATATCATATATGCCTTAATTGACATCATTTTATGAAGTGTGACATCATTCCGCCAAAGAATTGATTCTAACAAGATATAAAAGAGAACCAGTGCAGGGCTCACACTGGCTCAAATAAAATAATAGCCAATATTTTTAACCTAAAAAAATAATAGCCAAAAGTTCACGATTGAGCGATTAATAACATAAGCAGTTGATTAAATAAACATTCCATATAAAACTTTTTTCAGTAAATAAACTGATACATTTGTGTATATTGATAACTACCTTTTTTTACATAGAACAACAACTTTGATTGCTATTATAGAACATGTTTTATAGTATAATAACTGTATAACAATAATATTAATGATTCATTATAACTTTACATAATGCTGTTATCAGACAATTTCTTTTGTTTATTCTAATCAAATTTTGTCAGCTATACTGTAACCACTGTCATTTTCCACATTTCACACAGAACTGGAGTAGATCTAGGTCATATTAGCCTATAGAAATAACACTTGCAAACTCATTCACAGAATGAAGCCTTTTTACTGAATAACTTACTGAAAAGTGTCATCATCACCAATGTAATACAAATTTTCTGCCATAATAGTTAAGATTTTTAAACAGAACATAGCTTATTTTCACCTTAAAATAAATATAAAAATTATCGGGGTCGCGAAAATATGTGACAATCGGATTTTTTCCTGTTTTCTGAAGAAATGTTCACAATTTTGGTTGTTGTGCAAATAGTTATTTGGAAGTTAATACCTTTTAAATATTTTATCATTGTTTTCCACTGGCGATTTAGTCAAGCAGCTTAAAACAAAAAAAATCAAAATTTGCAGTTACTGCAATTTACGGTAAATTTTGGGTTGGTCAATATCCAGTTTATCAATTTTTTAGACGATTTTTGTGGCTAATTGACGGACATTTGATGGCTATTATAATGCTGGACAATATCTTTAAAGTACCTTTACAATTTTACATCTCCCATGTATTTTTATCACCTCGGGCAATATAGTAAGCAGCGCGTGACCGATTAAAAGTTGACACTCAATTAAATTCACCCCGCTGGTGTTAATTGTGTCTACTGCATTCTTTATCGATTTTTACACCTTATATAAACACTGTTGGAAGTATAAAATAATCGCCAGATTTTGTAGCCAAAATGCAAAAATAATCGCCAATCTTATAAAATAATCGCAAATGGCGACTATGGCGACCAGCAGCGTGAGCCCTGCCAGTGTATGTATAACTAACCACATTTATTCTTGTCAAAATAAATGCGTGTAATTAAGGAAATATGACTTTGCCTTGAGAAAGAATAAAGCACATGATGTCAGTACAGAGTGGAATAGATATGAGTCTGGGTAACTCTTCTTAACAGTGTAATTGTCTTATTTCATTCACAAAACACAACAATATATATACGTGAACTTACATCTATATAACTTGCTACCATACTTTGCTTCATCTACAATTGCTGTAAAGATGGCACAGCTGCATTTCTAGAAGATTTAACTGTCCTGAAAAATCATAATATAACTTCAGCATAAAATGATAAAGAGAACATTGAAAATATTTCATAAGTGATCACATGTGCGAAATTGTTAATACTGTAGGAACGTGTTCACTTTTATGTGCATGTGTAGTTATGTATTTTGTGTGTTCGTGCGTGCGTGCGAGTGTTACCATATTGCTTTATGTGAAATATAAGTCAAAATATGGAATGTCGAAAAATGTGTGATGTACAAAGGCTCAATATAGTTTTTCAAGCGTTTAAATTCATGTATAATGAAATATTAAATAACTATTTCCTCAAACAGGCGCGTGTTTGTGACTGACCCATGCGATATCACCTTATGCGTAATGTTTATCTTAAAAACTAAACAAAGAGTTAAAATTATAATAAGAAAAAAATATTTAAATTTTAATTTGTCCAATAAAAAATACATTGTAAATGTCGAAAACTCAGTTCATGTATATACAATTTAAAATCTGGGTAATCCTGAATAACGTAGATAAATAACCAAAAATATCGAATGAAAACCAAGAGTTGTCTGTCCTGAACTGCGAGTAAACTCGATCTTGCTAATTACTATTAATGCTAAAACAATACAAACAAAGCCGTTTAAAATTCTTACACCGACAACAGGCTTCGTATCAATGTAAAAATAAACATATGAGCCGCGTCACGACAAAACCAACATTATGGGGTTGCGACCAGCATGGATCCAGACCAGCCTGCGCATCTGCGTAGTCTGATCAGGATCCATGCTGTTCGCTTACAAACTCTATAACAAGTAGAGAAACCGATAGCGAACAGCGTGGATCCTGATCAGACTGCGCGAATGCGCATGCTGGTCTGGATCAATGCTTGTCACAAACCCAATTATGTTGGTTTTGTCGTGACGCGGCTCATATGCTTTGACACCAAGGGTAAGTGAATTAACAGTTAACTGTTAAACTTAACACCTGACGGCCATATTACATGCAATCATACACATTCTTTGTATTAATGTAAATAAAAGATTCTGACAATTATTTTCATTTTATCTATTCATCTAAATGTATTATGATTTAAATAAAAAAGAAATGTTTGTTTCCTATTTTTGTTTAAGATTTGTATTCATTTAAGAATAGGTTAATATAAATAAGAAATATATAACAACATGTGTACAGAAACTTAAAAAAAGTGAATAAAATTGAAAAGAGCGGAGTCTTTAAATTGACTTATGTTTGCATCAAATAATGGGGATTTGTATAAAAATAAAAACTGCGAATATAAAACAAGTATTCTGCTCGTTAAATTATCAAGACTGAGAAACAATTTTATCTAAAAATTTATAAACCTATTTTTTAGAAGTACTAAGCAATTTTCTTTTAAAATATGTTAATCTGTTAAATCTGATAATTTTTGTTATTATATTGAATAGATAAAACATAACCTATTTTTCGGCTACCAATTTCATAAATTACTATTAAAATAAAAAGAATTTGAGTGTCCCTTTTCGATATGATCTTTCTTGCACATTGATTCGCACCCCTGCTGTTGATCGCTCAAGATTATAAAGTCCAATTAGTTGACCAATCAAGCATACATAGGTCGTGTCACACACACTGATTAATCCCTTAGTACTACCATGTCCAGGGGCTGTAATACCTTGACATATTTGGTGTTTAAATGTCGTAATTTAAACTCGGTGTCTTTTTTACCCTGAAGGGAAGTTACGATTAACGCATTTAACAAATGCCCTTTTCATTTTTTGTTTTTGCATTTTTCATAAAAAATATTAATTAAACAAGATACAATTTAGAAATCAAAATCAAACTCGTAACCTCCCAGTCTAAATTTAGGGATATATCGCTGCTTTAATTATCTAATCCGGCCGCCATATTGGATAGCGAAACAGATTAAACAGTGTTAAAGTTTTCTAAAAACAAATCAGTTTAACCCTGAAATAAGCTGTTGTTCACAAAATGCAACTATTCTATTGATCGCATATTGATATTGCAACGATAAAAAATAACTTTTAACCTACCTTGTTTTGCAATATTCTGAATTTTATTTGCTATCCATTTCCAATCCCGTTTTTTCTTTTTTTCATTTCGCCCGCGCTATTTCTGATTGGTTGATAGGATTCACGTGATACAAAACCAACGCTTTAAACTCATTGGCTGTTTTGAAAACGCGTGATATGATAAGTTTGATAAGTTTTAAGTTTGATAAGTTTATTTTGAATATTCCATAAGGCTATATAGCCCATGAGGATATACAATGCATTATAATATGGCAAGACAGTATATGACATAAATGTACAAAACAATTTATAAGATATGCCTAGATACCGTTGGTGTAATAAAGCATTTAGCATTAATAATGCCACGGATTTATACTAAGGTCGGTGATAATGCGGAAGAAACCAACATATTAAGACCTTTATTCGATCCAAAATAATGCAATATTAAATTAGAAATATCATGTATCCATAAACGATAACTTTGCATACATGTATAACATAACCATTGATACTTTTTCATAGGCAAAACTTTGATTCTAATGCTCAATCGGTTATTTATTTTTTTGATAATAATAATAATAATAATAATAATAATAATAATAAAATAATAATAATAATAATACTTATGATGGTGATGATGATGATGATGATGATGATAATAGTTGATAATAATAATAAAATGATGATGATAATGATGATAATAATAATAATAATAATAATAATAATAATAATAATAAAAGACGTTTTAGAAGCGCTAAGAAATATTTATAAATTACACAAATTTTTGTGATAACAATAAGCGGGTAAAACAAAAGACCCACATTAAATTTACACATAGGACAAAAGCCCCCACCCCAGTCCATCAAACAAAAGCCTCCCTAAAGTTTATAGACCAGACTGATTACTTTCTATTTTTACACGCCCAGTGTTCGGGAACTTGGGTTATACTTCAAATAAATCTAGACAAGTATGCGCCTTTCACTTTTATTTCCTTGATAAGCTTTGAAAAGCGATTCTCTGAAAATATTCATTTACATTTGAACTGCACAATATATAATAAAGTAAACATAAAAACATCAATGAATTATAAGTACGAATTACACAATAAATCAAATTAGAACTTTTGTACCTTTAAATTTAAATCTTAATGTAAATTATCTTTTAAAACAATTGCATTTATTTGTTAAAATATTTCAAGTTCCAGATTTAAACTGACGAGATTCTCAATAGACGGAGATGGACTGGGGGGTGCTTTTGTCCTACCTGTATTTTTGATGGGGGGGGGGGCTTTTGTCCTACGTGTAAATTTCATGGGGGGGGGGGCTTTTGTCCACCTTGTCATTTTTAGATGGGGGGGGGGGGGCTTTTGTCCGTATCCCCATTAAAATAAATTACTTACTTACTTTCTTATACACATAAATGAAGTATAAAGATCCTTTCACATTATCTGCGGATTTCATAATTAAAATAAAACTTTATTAGTATAAGAATATTTGGAGTATCAGTAAAAATTCGAAAGTCCAATTTAAAAAATGATTTTACTATCAATATATAATTTAGTATGTTCTTAACTTGAGTTTTAAAATCAAACTAAGACAATTTTTATTTTTTTAAACAGAAATTTACTTTTACAAAAACTGTTCCAAGATACATAATTTTATTTTAACAAGGTAACAAATGTTAATTTACATAGCACGGTCATGTTCCCCTTTCCTGAACAATGTTCAAGTCACCGAATTATGCAGAAATACGGCTGATGGGAGACGAGGAAACTCGGGAGATGATGATGATATTTTTCAAGATATGCTATTTCGAATAATTTGACATCATCTATCAACAATACATGTACATACACCCCGAGTGACATCCATCTGATTCTAGCTTGTTAACTTAGATATAATTGGACCTGGCGGCAAGGTACTTTAAAGTTTACTTTAAGATAAATCTTAATTGTGTCGTCTTGTTTAAATGACGAATTCCGCCAAATTAAAGGATAACAACAACACGACGCTGCAAAAACATTGGAAAGAATATAGCAGCTATGTCTGTTTCATTTTAATATGTCGGGTTAGAGTCTTTATAATATCTGGAACAAAATCACATAGAGTCTCGGTTATGAGATCACAATTTAATTCCCTTATTTCGTACATGAATTATATTAGAAATTGACAATAAAAATACCGTTAAGAAATTCAACACCAATTGCGCTAACTTACCTAATCGGAGAAAACCGACACTCGATATACCCTGCTGCGTTTATGATCAATATCCGGATCAATATCCGGCTTAATCAGTATTGTCTTCGATTATGGCAATACAGCACGTGGCTATTACACAATATTATGTCATAAATGAGACCGCGCGAAAAGAATCAAAAATGGGGAATTCGGATCTACCACGGATTTATATTCCATAGAACAACATAAGATTTCTATTCAACACTTGTGTACAGAAACGCAAATCTTTGTTTCCTGAAATAAAAGATTAATAAATAAATAAATAAATAAATAAATAAATAAATAAATAAGAAATATATGAATAAATGAGTAATGAATGAATAAATGAATGTATGAATAAGTAAATGAATGAATGATTGGTTGATTGATTCAATGAATGAATGAATGAATGAATGAATGAATGAATGAATGAATGAATGAATGAAATGAATGAATGAATGAATGAATGAGATATCATTGTTGTTTTTCTCACATATGCAAGTACATGTATTATATTATGTATAGCCTATTTTTTATAGGACATATATCAACGTAAAATTTAATTGCTGTGTGGACAATCCCGATTTCATCTTCGTGATTTCACAATTATTTAACTTTCACGATTTCAACTTCACAGATTCACGATTTTATTATAATTAATTCATGTTTTGAACATCACAATTTCAACTTTATCATTTTCTCATGTTTGGCTTATCATTATAAAATATTATAATGATAATGAAAAGGAAATTGCAAAATAGCATGATTCACCATTGATGCAACATGCGAAACAGTACTATCTAATCGTCAATCGCAATTGTAAAGTATTCGCTATTTATCTGCGGGTGTATGCTAAAAAGCATACCAAGCGGTATTGAGCTAGAATACCGCGTCTGCATGTTACAGGTGGATGTCTTACATGTTCTGTGTATTTGTACGCAATTGACGCGTTAATTACTCAAGGAAATTTTGCATTGTGTTAATTGTCTAATGTCTGACAAATATATGATCAGACAATTTCTTTACTCTTACAAGAAATACGCTTTTCAGAAGTAAATTTTCATTCGCTATTTCTATATACAGAATCCGTATTTGCGCGAATACAGAATTTCGTATTTTAGTAATATACGGACTTCGTACATCAAAGTTCACGTATATTACGAGTGTACGGAGTTCGTATACTAGTCATGTACGGACTGATATAATATACGTTCCCGTACATCTCCGTATTTCAAGTTTCCCGTATTCTTACACGTATATTAATGATATACGGAATTCCGTACACTTCCGTATATCCATGTCTTTTTCGCAGTGTAAAACATAATTGTCTTAATAATTTTCTATGTAAATTATATGAAAAATATTATTTATTCCCTCTCGTAAATGACGTATATATATATAATTATAATGTAATTAATTACCATGTCATAGGTTTATTTAATACAATAGAATAATTTTAGCATGTATTCAATTACATGTGACTTTAATACTACTCTGTTAACAATTATCGTGACTCAATCAGATTCTATTATATTCATTCACTCGAGTAATTTAAAAAGAAAGTGAAAGATGCCAATATTTCTGAGAAACAAAATATTGTAGAAGCATAAGAAACATGTGAATACATTAATGTATTCAAACAGCAAATACGGTCAAGTGCAGAGTAACCATTTTAAATATGTGATTATCCTTTAATGAACGATTGTAAACAATGCCATAAATAAATTCATTCACAACAGTATCATTATGATAAGAATAATCATTTTGTAAAACTCAAGATCTCCTGTCCATCTTTAATTATTTTTGTCGGACAAACATACATGTATCGGTTTATTAAGTTCAACTCGATTTTAAGATCGTGTACTTTATACGTCTGTCAATAAACATTCAGTAGGGTGAACTTGTCTGAAACTTTTCATTGGCGAGAGCTGATTATTCTCTTATTGGACACAAGTTAATATTTGTGTCCGTGTTCTGTCAATGACAAGCATCACTTTAAAATTAAATTTGCACTCTTCTTATTCACGGGAATCTATACTTACTGTACAGATTGCCAGGATCTTGGGTTAAATAGCAGCGGTATTGATCGTGGTTATATTATTAAGAGATTTATTATGTATACTTGGTTTTAATTAACTTTGGCTTTCCAAACTATTGGTGATCTACAGACAAAATTTTACAAAAATGGTTTGGTAGATTAAATTTCTCCAGCAGAGCATCTTTTACATGGATATTTCAAACCACTGATTTCAATTATATCTATATATCATAAGTGTATGAAATTTTCATTTATGTTTATTTTGTCTTCGAGTTTGAACTAGACCTTTAAGTACACCTGTAAATACACCTATAAATGAAAGGACACGTATTTTTGTGACAAGTTAGAAGATGAATATTTTTGGAATGGATTCTATGCAATGTTTTTAAGGAAACTATTTAAACCATATTATTATGTCAATCGCCAAATAATGCAAGATTTATTGAATTGATGAATTCAGATAACAATTGTGAAAATTTAAGTATGTATATCGAAAAACTGTTTAACTTAGAGCAAGTGAGTGATATTTTGACATGTTTCAAAACGCTCAGATTACTGTTATTTATATTACAGTATGATTGTTATGCATATGGTACTATGTACTTATACGTGTCACATTTTGCTAACTACACGTAACCAATGAGGAAAATAGCAGGATTTTTTTTGTCAATAACACTATACCAAATCCATAGCAAATTTCGTACCCTCGTTTATTTACTTTAAATAACCAAATCATTTATAATATTTATAATTGTATTTGTAATTGTATCGTCAAATTTGTATTCATATATATTTTGCCACATTAGTTTGGAACCTTAATTATGAATTAAGAATAAACTTAAAACTTTAAACTATGTTGTCCTGTTTCGCTTATCAAATCATAATGCTAGCTTACTTAAATAGTTTGTTAATTTGAGTGACTAATACTGAAAATATTGGACTTCTCATTTCGTTTCAAACAATAACAACAAAAACAACAATAAAAAACATGAAAAAGTAAACACACATTCTAACAGAACAGAGGAGAGCCGACATAGCCCGACTCGTGTCGGTCGAACTGCAATTTTGTACGGTAGCAGCAGATAAATGCTGGAGAAGTTAGGTTGAGCCACGACATGGCTATGGTGCAAGCCGATGAATGACGACGGAAACCGTATTTTAAGCAATGAATTTATATTTAAAATGTTACGTGAGTTCTGTTCTTTGAAAACCATAGAATTACTTGTACAGACTGTGATAAAAGTGACTGTTATGTTGCCCCAAACTGAGTCTAGTCTGTAGTATTACAGGGAAAGTATCAAGCAATCGA